TTTTCCCCAGTGTTCTGTCAATCACCTCAAGCAAAGAGAGCGGTTGTCACCACAAAGGAAACTGCCCTCAATTCTCTGAAGACCAAGCAATGTATCCTCCAATGCCAAGAGTCTTAGAAACTTCTATCAGATCACAGACAAAGATGGCCTTCTGCCAGGCCTGCCACAGTGATGGCAAAGGACCTTTTGGCCTATTCCTCTCCCCCAGTCTTATCTCCTCTCAGAAGCCAGGCTGAGATTTCTACGACATAATCTGATTGTATTTACCAACCTTGGCAATGACTTCCTTAGAGGTTTAAGCCTATTCTTAAAGGCCAAACACAGTTTCCCAGAATCACTCCAAATGGAAGATTAACTGCATTCACTAATTCTTGCCAGGAACACAAAAAAGAGATTCATTGATAGTGAAAAAAATCATAGAGTGAACTCAATGATACCAAACCCCTGCATTCTGTTTAGATACATGGGAGGACACTTCATAGCAGGCAATCTTCTAATAGATAGTATAAGGAAATACCATCAGTCAATGCTCAGAATTTTAGCACTGTGACTTCAAGACTTGATCTGGCCAATGTGTAAGCCTATACAGGGTAGAGGGGACTCAACTTAGAACCATGGGAGCCAGGCTACATGGAGTATGGAGCAGGACTCATCTATCTGTCCCAACCTGGTTTTGAGGTGCCTGATAGACAAGCCTAGGGTTATCAGAGTTAAGATGTAATCCTCTGGACAAGAATGAAGACATGCTTCCGTCAGTTACTGGATGAAGGCTCAGAAGCAGAGATTCATAGCTAAGCATTGAGCTGAAATCCTGGAATCCAATTGTAGAGAGGGAGGAGTGATGAGTAAAACGGTCAAGACCATGCTGGGAAAACCCACAGAAACAGCTGACCTGAGCAAGTGGGAGCTAACAGACTCCAGACTGACAGCTGGGGAACCTGCAGAATACTGAAACAAACCCCTGAACATGAGTGTCAGTTAGGAGGCCTGGGAAGTATATGGGGCCACTGGCAGTGGAACCAGCATTTACCCCTAGTGAATTAATGGCCTTTTGGAGCCCATTCCCTGTGGAGGGATACTCTCTCAGCCTAGATCCAGGGAGAAGGCCTTGATCCTGGCCCAAATGATGTGACAGACTTTGATGATTCCCCCATGGGAGGCCTCACCCTCTCTGAGGAGTGGATGGGGGTGGGATGGCACATGGTGGAGGGAATGGGGGGACAGGAGGGAGAAGGAACTGGGATTGGTATGTAAAATAAGATTGTTTTATTTTAAGTAAAAAAATTAATTAAATAAAAAAGAATGAAGATATGCTAAACCAACACTGACGCCCCTCTCTGGCTATCAGACTGTGAAAAGATTTCCTGGGACTTGGAATTTCCTCAGGAGTGGAAGACTGGGAGAAGAAAATGACTGGGACTCTGGTTCCAGCCAGGAGAGTGGCCTCTCTGAAAGAGATTTCACACAATTCTGACAACTTCTCAGGCCATCTTGCAGGACAGACTGGAGCATGGAAGATGATTAATGGAACACACTTCCTCAGGACTTCTCACATATGCACATTCCCTGCCTTCCGTTTACACTGAGTATCTGGACCCCAATGATGGACTTAGGGGTGCTAACTGCATCTTTCTGATTTTCTCCCAATCTGGCCAAACTGAACCAATTTCCTTTTGCTTCTTTTAGATGACGTGTCTCTTGCATTGACCTACTGAGCATCAGTGGCTTAGCCTGACTTGTGAGGGCTGCCGGGGCCCAGGCTCTAACTCTAATGACTTCAGTTATAATGTGGCCCACGGAGAAAAGAGAATGCTAGAGATGGAGACACTGAGGGTGATAAACAGTCTGCACATCTAGAGGACAGCTCGGCAGAAAAGTGGAGAGAGAAAGAATAGTTAAGTAGACTTGGTGTGGCATGTAAGAGGGAGCCCTCCTCCTAGGGAGTCGGGCTACTTGACAGTTAATGGCAAGGGGTCTTAAGTGCATCTATTCAATAAGGTTTATTGCATAAGCTTCCGGTATCTAAAAGGCACTGAGCTGGACTATGAAATACAGATACACTCCCTGCAGTTTAAGAATGTATTTCAAGAAAGAGAAGTGTTGAAAAGACCATTGCCATGGCATTTTCCCTGAGAGCTTGGTCCCAATTTTGTAATGTGATATTAGTATTTCTTCAGTGTAAAGTTGGAAGGTCATGAGAGACCTGCCACAAAGTACAGTCCGAGTAATGACAATCTCAGCAGTCCTTGTGGACTGCAACATTGCTGAGGCCCTCTGTGCAAAGGCTTCCCAGGGATCCCTGGGCCCTAAGCTTCCTCCCCTGCTTTACACACCACAAAACTGACATTTGCCACCTAGCTCAGACCTCATCCTTGACATCTGATTGATTCTTCCAGCCATGCCATCTGCTCACTTCTGTTCACCATCCCAGGCAAGAACTCTTCGGGAGAACAAGAAATAAAAGCTGGGTGTGGAGCAATCCAAACACATAAGAGTCGTAGAAACTCCTATTAGATCCCACACAGAGATGGTCTCTCCCCCACGTCTACCAGAGTCTGCAGAAGGCCTTTCTGAGACTCGCCTCTATCCAACATCCAGGGCAAGAATTAATTCTTCAGAAGAACAGGGAGTAAACATTGGGTATGTGGCACACACATGTAATCCTAGCATGTGAGAAGCTGAAAACCGGCGGGCACTACACGGTGAGTTCCAAAACAATCTGGGTTACACAGCCAGAACCTAACTGAAAAAAAAATCGTTGGTTAACTTTCTTCTTGTCATTACAAAATCAACTTAAGGATTTGTTTGTTTGGTTGGTTGTTTTTTTTTTTTTGGCTCACAGTTTTGAGGGTGATGGTCCATCACAGAGGGGAGGGCATCTCCACAGTGGGAGGGTGCACAGCAGAGACTTCTCACATCCTCATATCTTGGTGTAACAGGAAGCAGAGAACAGGCAGGAAGGGGGATCAGACCACAAAACTCTAATGCCAGCTCTCAGTGACCTCCTGCCTCTGGTGACGTTCCACTTCCTAAAGGAAGGCTTCACAACCATCCACAACAGCACCACCATCTGAGAGCAAGGATTCAAGCAGGAGAACAAAGTGTCTCCAAAACAGACCTCAGTCGATCAGAGAGCTCCCAGGCCAGACAGTCCCACCAGGGATCCAAACAACTTCTCCATGCCAAGGAGAAAAGTAGGGCCTTGGAGCCATGGTGACCAGGGCCAGTGCTTTCCCGGGTCACGGGTCCATGGACACTCCACATGGCACCCATTTGGTCACATACCCTGACTTCCTGGGGAATGACCTTGAGACGGCAACACAAGATGCACTGCTGAATCTGGGCCTGGGTGTGTGTGTGTACACACCTCCATCTGACCAACATCCATTTGTCAGCTCCTGGATATAATTGCGAAACACGGCACACCCCCACCATCAATACATTTACAAATCACAGCACTTCAGAGTCCTTTCATCAAACCTGTCTCATCTGTCTAGTCTCATTTCTAGACAAAACATGACACAGAGCCATCACACACAGAATAGTGTCATAAACAAACCACGCACACACTGTGGTTTGAAACTTCATTCAAACTGCATTCTGTTCCACAGTTGTGGGTAAGTGTATGTGTGGAGGGGCGTGGGGTGGTTGTGAATACATGGGTGTGGTTTCGAGTGTGTGCAAGGGCAGAAAAAGCATGTGCAGAGGCCAAAGGTCAGCTCAGGTGTGTCCCTCAGGTGCCATCCACTCTGAGATATTTAAGGCTTATTTATTTTAGTTATATATATGAGTGCTTTGCCTGTATGTATATATGTAGTATGTATGTATATACACCAGGTGTATGCCTGGTCCTCTCAGAGGCCTGAAGAGGGCATTGAACCCCCTGGAACTGGAGTTATGATGGTTGTAAGCTACTATGGGGGTACAGGAATGGAACCCAGGTCTTCACCAAGAACAGTAAGACTCTTAACTGCTGAGTCAACTCTCCTGCTTTTCCACCTTGTTTTTTTGAAACAGTGTCTCTCACTGGACCTGGGGTTGGCTGATTAAACTAAGCTGTGAGGTCAGCAAGCCTCAGGAATCCTCCTGCCTCCACATCACCAATACAAGTACAAGCCACTATATCTGGATTCTTCATACAACTCATGATCTCCTGGTTGCAGGGCAGGGATTTTATCCATGTGCTGTCTCCCTGACCCTTTACAAGATATTAAGTTGCTAAGTTTTTAAAGATGTGTTTTTAATTATGTGTATCCAAGTGGTTGTGTACACATGAGAACAGGTGCTGCAGAGGACAGAGGCATTGAATCTCCCTGGAGCTGGAGCCATGGGAAGTACCTGACATGGGTGATGGGAACCGAACTCAGGTCCTCTGGAAGAGCGTCACTACCCTTAACCACTGCAAACTCTTCAACCACCTCAAGTCACTCACTGTCACTTTACTAGTCCCCAGCTCTCCAGGAAGTAAGGAGGAAGTCAGCAGATAAAGCAAGCAGGCTAGAACTCAGCTATACAATACTTGACAGGGAAGGCAAGACAGCCTATGACTGAACAGCAGGACCCTGGATTCAGACACCATGGGGTGAGAAATCAACATTGGGAAGAAAAGTAAATGAGACCTGAAATGTGCTACAGTCTTGGCAGCTTAGAAACATGATGCTAGGTGGGAACAACCAATCACAAATGGCCACATGCAATATAAGGCCTACACCCTACCACGTGCACACACACACACACAAAGACAGAGAGAGAGAGAGAGAGAGAGAGAGAGAGAGAGAGAGAGAGAGAGAGAGAGAGAACAATTTTGGATAAATTACTCAGCTTCTACAAAACTGTTCCTCGTCTATAAAATAAAAATACCAGAACAGAAAAATCCAAGAAAAATGCATATATCAGTGGCTGTATAGATCTGGGGACCAGGTAGGGCAATGCAGGAAAAGGATGGTGACTGCTGAAGAGTTAAAAGGACTATTTTGATGGAATAAAAATGCCCTAAAATTGTGCTTGCTTAGGCAGCACATATACTAAAATTGGACTAATACGGAGAAGATTAGCATGTCCTTCAAGCAAGGATGATACGCAAATTCGTGAAACATTCCGTATTTTTTAACTCTGGTCCCCTAACCACCAGACCACTAAGGGGCTCTTTCTGCACCCACTAGAAGAAGAGATGGGAAAGAGACAATACAAAAACACACTCAGCAACAGAAAAACAAATATGACACTGCCAGATTCTAAAGACTCCACACCAGCAAGACTGAACATTCCAATGCAAATGAAGCAGAAAAGAATGAACTTAAAAACAACTTCATGAAAATGATAGAGACCCTAAAAGAGGATATAGGAAAATCCCTCAAAGAAATGGAAGAAAAAAAAAACAAAAAATGCAAGAAATGGAAGAAAAAACAAACCAAAAAATGCAAGAAATGGAAGAAAAAAACAAACCAAAAATTCATAAAATGCAACAAATGGATGAAAAGATAAACCGAAAATTGCAAGAAACAATTCAAACAGTGCAAGGGTTGAAAACTGAAATAGAGACTATAAAAAAAAACACAATCTGGCCGGGTGTCGGTGGCACAAACCTTTAATCCCAGAACTTGAGAGGCAGAGGCAGGCAGATCTCTGTGAGTTCGAACCAGCCTGGTCTACAAAGCAAGTTCCAGAACAGTCTCCAAGAAAATACAGAGAAACCCTGTCTCAAAAAACCAAAAAAAAAAAAAACCCAAAAAAAACCCACAATCTGAAGAAAGGCTGGAAATAGAAAAGTTGGGGAAATGGTCAGGTACTACAGATACAAGCATTACCAACAGAATACAAGAGATGGAAGAGAGAATCTCAGGTGCTGAAGATACACTAGAAGAAATGGTTCATCGACCAAAGAAAATCTTAAGTCCAACAAATCCTTAACACAAAACATCCAGGAAATATGGGACACTATGAAAAGACCAAACCTAAGAATAATAGGTATAGAAGAAGGTGAAGAAAACCACCTCAAAGGGGCAGAAAACATATTCAACAAAATCATAGAAGAAAACTTTCCCAACCTAAAGAAAGGCATGCCAATGAAGGTACAAGAAGCTTACAGAACAACAAATAGAGTGAATCACAAAAAAGTCCCCTCGCCACATAATAATCAAGACCCCAAATATACAGAATAAAGAAAGAGTATTAAGATCAGCTAAGGAAAAAGGCCAAGTAACATATAAAGGCAAACCTATCAGAATTACACCTGACTTCTCCATGGAAACTCTGAAAGCCAAAAGGTCCTGGATAGATATTCTACCAACACTAAGAGACATGGATGCCAGCCAAGACTACTATACCCGGAAAAGCTCTCAATCACTATAAATGGAGAAAACAAGATATTCCATGACAAAATTAGATTCAAGTAATATATATCCACTAACCCAACCCTACAGAAATTTCTAGAACAAAACGCCAAACCAAGGAAGTTAACTACAACCAGAAAAACATAGGCATTAGATAATCCCATTTTACCAACAGCCAAAAGAAAAAAGGAGTGGAAATCCACACATAATTCCACTGACAACAACCATTCCAAATCAAAGAAGAATGAGCAATCAATGGTCATTAATTTCCTTCAATGATATTAAAGACACAGGCTAACAGAATGGATTCGAGGACGGAACGTATCCTTCTTCTGCATACATGAAACACACTTCATCCTCAAAGACAGACATTACCTGAGAGTTAAAGGTTGAAAAAAGATTTTCCAATCAAATGGTCCCAAGAAACCAGCGGGGGTAACAATCCTAATATCTAAAAATTAGACTTTAAAATATAATCAATCAAAAGAGATGAAGGAGGTTATTACATACTCATCACAGGTGAAATCCACCAAGATGAAGTTTCAATTCTGAACATCTATGCCCCAAATACAAAGGCATCCACGTTTGTAAAAGAAACATTACTAAAACTTAAATCACATATAAAGCCCCACACACTTATAGTTGGAGACTTCAACAACCCACTCTCACCACTAGACAGGAATACCAGACAGAAACTCAACAAAGAAGCAAAGGGTATAATAGAAGTAATGACCCAATTGGGATTAACAGACATCTATTGAACATTCCATCCACATAAAAAAGGAATATACCTTCTTCTCAGGGCCACATGGAAGCATCTCAAGAATCAAATACATACTTGGCAACATATCAAAACTCAGCAGCTACAAAAAAATTGGTATAACTCCATGCATCTTACCAGACCACTATGTGTTAAAATTAGAATTCAACAAAAACACAAATTACAGAAACCCTACAAACACATGGAAATTGAATAATGCACAACTGCACCATTCCTGGGTCAAAGAAGAAATAAAAAAAAAGAAATTAAAGACTTCCTAGAATTCAAGGAGAATGAAGACACAACATACCCAGACTTATGGGACACTTTGAAACCAGTGCTACGGGGGGAAGTTCATAGCACTAAGTGCCCACATGAAGAAACCGGAGAGCCGGGTGGTGGTGGCTCACGCCTTTAATCCCAGCACTCGGGAGACAGAGGCAGGCGGATCTCTGTGAGTTCAAGGCCAGGCTGGACCGATAGCCTCCAAGACAATACAGAGAAACCCTGTCTTGTAAAAAAAAAAAACAAAAATAAAAAGAAACTGGAGAATAATCACACTAGAGAATTGACAGCACAGCTGAAAGCTCTAGAATACAAAGAAGCAAAACCACCCCAGAAGAGTAGATGCCAGGAAATAATTAAATTGAGGGCTGAAATCAATTAAGGAGAAACTAAGAAAACAACACAAAGGATTAATGTAACGAAGAGTTGGTTCTTTGAAAAAATCAACATGATAGACAAAACTTTATCCAAACTTACTAAACGACTAAGTATGAACATGCAAATTATCAAAATCAGAAATGAAAAGGGGGACATAACAACGGACTCTGAGGAAATCCAGAGAATCATCAGGTTATACTTTGAAAACCTGTACTCCACAAAATTCGAAAATTTAAAGGAAGTAGACGACTTCCTGGATACCTATCACTTGCCAAAATTAAACCAAGAACAAATAAGCAATTTAAATAGACCTATAACCCCTATGGAAATAGAAGCAGTCATCAAAAGTCTCCCAACCAAAAAAAGCCCAGGTCCAGATGGCCTCAGTGCAGAATTCTACCAGAAATTCAAGGAACAGCTTATACCAATTCTTCTCAAAGTATTCCACACAACAGAAGCAGAAGGGACTTTGCCAAACTCTTTCTACGAGGCTTCAATAACCTTGATCACCAAGCCACACAAAGACACAACTAAGAAAGAGAACTTCAAACCAATATCCTTCAAGAACATTGATGCAAAAACACTCAATAAAATACTGGCAAATCAGATCCAATTACACATCAAAACAATCATTCACCACGATCAAGTACGTTTCATCCCAGAGATGCAGAGATGGTTCAACATATGAAAATCCATCAATGTAATGCATATAAACAAGCTGAAAAACAAAAATCACATGATCATCTCACTGAATGCTGAAAAAGCCTTTGACAAAATCCAACACCCCTTCATGATAAAGGTCTTGGAGAAATCTGGGATAACAGGAACTTACCTAAAAATAATAAAAGCTATATGCAGCAAACCAACAGCCAACATCAACCTAAATGGACAGAAACTCAACACAATTCCACTAAAATCAGGAACAAGACAAGGCTGTCCACTTTCTCCATACCTTTTCAATATTGTACTTGAAGTTCTAGCCAGAGCCATAAGAAAACAAAAGGAGATCAAGGGGATACAAATTGGAAAGGAAGAGGTCAGACTTTCCCAATTTGCAGATAATATGATAGTTTACATAAATGACCAAAAGAACTCTACCAGGGAACACTTACAGTGAGTAACATCTTCAGCAAAGTGTCAGGACAAGATCAACTCAAGAGAATCAGTAGCCCTACTATATACAGATGATAAGAGGGCTGAGAAAGAAATCAGAGAAACATTACCCTTTACAATTGCCACAAACAACATAAAATACCTTGGGGTAACGCTAACCAAACAAGAGAAAGACCTTTATCACAAGAACTTTGAGTCTTTAAAGAAAGAAATTAAAGAAGCCCTCAGAAAATGGAAAGATCTCCCATGCACTTGGATAGGTAGGATCAATGTAGTAAAAATGGCAATCCTGCCAAAAGCAATCTACAGATTCAATGCAATCCCCATTAAAATACCAGCACAATTCTTCACAGAACTTGAAAGAACAATAATGAATTTTGTACAGGAAAACAAAAGACCCAGGATAGGCAAAACAACCTTACTCAACAAAGCAACATCTGGAGTCATCACCATCCCCGACCTCAAGCTCTATCATAGAGCTGTAGTCCTGAAACCAGTTTGGTATTGACACAAAAATAGACAGGTTGACCAATGGAATTGAATTGAGCACCCTGATATTAACCCATACATGTATGAACATCTGATCTTCAACAAAGCTAAAAATATACAATGGAAAAAAGAAAGCATCTTTAACAAATGGTGCTGGCATAACTGGATCCATGTCTATCACCATGCACAAAACATAAGTGCAAATGGATCAAAGACCTCAACATAAATACAGCCACACTGAACCTCTTAGAAGAGAAAATGGGTGGTACCCTTGAACGAATTGGTACAGGAGACAACTTCCTGAACATAACACCAGTAGCACAGACAGTGAGATCAACAATTAATAAATGGGGCCTTCTGAAACTGAGAAGCTTCTGTAAGGCAAAGGACACAGTCACCAAGACAAAAAGACAGCCCACAGAATGGGAAAAAATATTCACTAACCCCACATCTGACAGAGGGCTGACCTCCAAAATTTACAAAGAACTCAAGAAGCAAGTCTCCAAAACACCAAAGGATTCTATTAAGAAGTGGGCTACAGAACTAAATAGAGAGTTTTCAATAGAGGAGTCTAAAATGGCTGAGAGGCACTTGAGAAAGTGCTCAACATCCTTAGCCATCCGGGAAATGCAAATCAAAGCAACTCTGAGATACCATCTCACTCCTGTCAGAATGGCTAAAATAAAAAACACCAATGACAATTTATGCTGGAGAGGTTGTGGTGAAAGGGGAACACTCCTCCACTGCTGG